GGTGCCATCCTATGGGCAGCCATAGGAAAGGCTGGAGGCCCAGCTCCAACACTGGAAATATGCTCCAAGGTCAAAACTGGGACTCCAACCTGCTAGTGTCCTGCCACCACCATGGACAAAACTATGCTGGCTGCAGCTCCAAATCTGAAGAGCAACCTTGGAGCTGAAGGATTGTGAGGTGAGGGGAGTGAGGCTCCACCACACCTGGTATATCCTGGTGGTTCTTCAGCCAGTCCTTCTTGTGAGCAGGATGAAAGGTTTAATCAGATGCTTAAGCCTTCCACACTCTATTGGGTGTCCATTAACCTCCTATTTGGAAGGTTACAGGTAGCCACCTTGGATAGTACTGCCTGTCACTTGCAACACAAAGGATGACAGAAACAAGGATTTACTTCCAAGATTCTTTTATGGTCTTATAAACAGAGTCCCCCAAATTGATTTCCCTCCTGTAAAATTTAACATCTAAGCTGTTTAGTAGTACTTCTTAAGTCTCAAAGCAGGATTCTACATTAGTCATACCATCATATAATTGCACTGTTGGAAGGACCCAATAAGGCTATCAGGCCTACCCTCTCCCTGCCTCCCCCCTCCCCCCTCCCCCCGGCTCCATGCAGGACTTCGAGTTAAACCATCCCTAACAGATGGCTGTCCAGCTGCATCTTGAATGTCTCTTGTATGGAAGAAGCCACAACCTGCCTAGGTTATTGGTTCCATTGTTGTACTGTTCTTGGCTTCCTGTAACTTGAACCCATTATTCCATGTCCCGCACTCTGGGATGATGAAGAGAATTTGCTCCTCCTCGGTGTGACAACCTTTCAAGAACTTGAAAAGTGCTATTATATCTCCCTTCAGTCTTCCTTTTCCAAGACTAAACATGCCCAAATCTTTCCATCGTTCTTCAGAGGGCTCTGTTTCCAATCTCTAGGTCACCTCTGAAGCCTTTCCAGGTGTCTGCATCTTTCTTAAATTGTAGTGGCCAGAAAGTGGAAAGAATACTCAAGATTAGGTCTAGTAGGTGCTGCATAGAGAGGAACTAGTGCTTCATATAATTTGGAGGTAATACTTCTATTAATGCAGTCCAGTATATTATATCCCACTTTGAGGTTTTTTGAAAATAACAGTATAGATTTTTTTAATAGATAGATTCTGTTTTTGTAGCCACAGCACATTGTTGACTCCTACTCAGCTAGAGATCCGCAACAATTTCAAGATCGTTTTCACTTGTAGCATTGTTGAGCCAAGCATCTCCTATCCTGTAACTATGCATTTTTTCCCTCTAGGTGCAAAACTTTGGATTTGTTCCTATTAAATTTCACACTGTTGTCTTCAGCAAAATGCTCCAACATATCAAGATCACTTTATATTTTGTCCCTGTCTTCCAGGGCATTAACTATTCCACTGAGTTTTGTGTCATCTGCGAATTTTATTAGCATTCCTTGTACCTCCTCATCCAAATCATTAATAAAACTGTTGAAGAGCAGTGCGCCCAGGAATGAGTCCTGTAGTACTGCATTTGTTGCTGCTCTTGCCAAGCAGCTAGCCAGAGATTACCATTGGTGGCTGCCATTTTGTGTGGCTGTCAGAGGTGTGCCGGTTTTGTCTACCACTTGCCCTATGTCTCTTCTTTGGGGTAGAAGCAGGTGATCACCTTGGCAGCCCACTGCCCCTCCACATGCACACAGAAGCTCCTCACATGCATGAGTGGGAGTGGGGAGAATCAGCTGGGCAGTGGGACCTGGTTGGGAGCAGCACCACTCAGCTGATTCACCTGTTGGCCCCCCCATTCTCACTTCTGTTTGCAGGAAAAGTGGACATTGGCCTGGGGATGCCTCTCCTGCAATCAGGAGCAAGAAAAGGGGGTTGAGGGCTTCCTTCCCCCTCATTGCTGCTACTTCTGAGAAAGATGCTCTGGTGGATGCTGGACTGGAGACCTCCCTCAAGTGAGAGAAACAACGGGGCTCAACCAGCTGAGTGGTGGTGTACCAACCTGAATCTCCCACCCTGCTCATGTGTATGTGTGCATGTTGGCACGGGTGGGGACAGCTGAACAGTTCTGCTCCTTTCCCCAGCACTGCCCAGATTATTTTCCTCTCTTTTGCCTGAGAATGGATTCCCCCCCCTCCACACACACACACACACAGCCCAGCAATTCCTCTTCAGTAGGGGTAACTGATCAATCCCTCATCTCCTCTGTTGCATTTCAGAAACTGCTCAACAGCCACAGTGAGCCAAACTTGGACTGTGATTGCAGCAGTCAAAAAGAGGAGCCTCATTCTTCCTTGAGTGAGTCATGGGATGCCTCCTAGAGGACTGAAAAATGGTAGGAGGGAAAAGACCTACCACCATGAACCTGATCATTTGTCAGGCACATCAAGGTAAAAAAACCATGACCATGATAACCATGTAGCATTGCTTGTGGTGACATATGAATCCAGCCTATTCCTCTGCTATTGGCAGAACAGGGCTAAAAGGCAAGTCAATGAATAGTGAGGATGCAAGAAGTTACAATAGAAGAACAGTCTACCTTCTGCAAAGGTCCAGGGGCTTTCTCATGTGCTGGCAAAGGGTGAAAAAAATGGAAGGAGTGGTAAGGATGGGTCTAAAAAAGAGTATTTGAATATTCCCGCTACCTTCTTGTCTCCTCAGACAAAGAATAATGCATGCAATAGGCATTTGCTTTATCTAGTTGCTTTATTTAAGATTCTGTAGGGCTTGAATTTTGGGGGAAATTAAATATGCTTTTTAGTTTAGCTCTGTGAGGATTTTTTTTGCTGCTTGGTTAGTGGTTTTTGTTATCTTTCATCTTGCCCAATTATTTTGATTTGGTTTTAGAGAAGTTTGCGCATCATAACAGAGCCCACGAACAGGACCTGAATGTTCTTGGTAATTTTTGCCGGCTTAACATAAGCCTGCAAAAGCAGCAACAGCTTCCACTTTTATCCAGGCTGCCCATTCCTGAACAAATATAGGCTGAGTTTACATGGTATGTGGACTCACCCCAGCAATATGTCATGGTGGATTGCTTTTTAAGTGCCCAGAGAAACCCAACAGACCACCAGGCTTATCACAGATACTTCCCTCATGGGGCAGCCCCTTTCACACTGTCCCAGTCAAAGCTGGAAGCTGAACTCGTTGTCCTTCAAGGGCACGAGCCCAGTTTGCTTATGGGGACAAAGAATAATAATGTTTAAAAGCCTTCTCTCTGGTTTTGGATAAAGCATCCCTGTCTTGAAAAGCTGCAGGAAATGCCTGTTCCACTTGGCAGCACAACACAAACACAGGGAGTGCCACAAGCAGATCACCAGCTCGCATTTCCTGTCCAAAAGATCTACTTTCAAAAAAGGAGACAGGATGTTCAGTCCACTTGGCAATGCTGCTCCCTCAAGTGCTCAGTGCTGAGAGGAGCAGGCACCCTGACTATTCCCCATACGTAGGCCCACAGGCAACGGGGGAGCCCACACCACTCCACATCACTACCCCAAGCATGGGTCAGCACTGTGGAAGCAATCACTGCCTCTTTCCTCTTTGCCATCCACACCAGTGGCTCGATAGTAGACCCCTCCAGCTGCTGACAAAGAAGATGTCCATTATTCCTCCTTGCCAAAGGGCCTGTGCCGCCTCATTAAGGAGTAGATCTCAGCCATTCTTGCTGGCAGCTGCCAGTAAGGATGGCTCTGCTGTGCTACGGAGAGCAGGAGAAGCTTCTGACAGCAGTCCCTGAATTTAGCTTGCGCACTTTGGAGGCTTCTGGCAGAGAAGCAGCCACTTGTCAACAGCAGCAGGGGATTTTTGTTGCTCTCATCCAACACTGCTGGCTGTTGGAGCTCATACACAGTGGCTCATGTCATCCAGGTTTGGATGACATGACAGCCCATTATGGATGACAACAACCCTAAAACAGCCCAAAGGTACCACAAGGTGACTTGTCTTTTTCAAACAAGCCTTTTTTCACACATTGAAAAGTGGTCCCTAATTGCACAACACCCTAATGCACCTACAATAACTAACAGGGGTGGGTTGTTGTGTCCTCTGAACCAGTCATTTTGTGTAGCCTCTAGCATTTTAAGCATCAATTGATTCTATTTACTTGCTTTGGGGACTAAGAAGGCTGTTAGCACTGACTTCTTTCAGAACAAAAGCCTCTTTTAATATAATAATATGCAATGTGTGCAACATCTGGCATCGAATATAAAGGTTTTACATCTAAATTCATATCTTTAAAATAATCATAGACTGTTATCTAACCATCAGAATATGGTCAGGCAATACATTTGTCTCTGAACAATGGAGCTTCCTAGAGATCAGGTCCTGACATTTTGCAATACAATAAAAAAACTGCAGTTGTTATATCATTCTCTGAAATGCTAATTTCAACTGAGCTTCATGTTAACATTAGCCTTTGACTGCCTAGCATCTACTCTAGCAAAAAGGTGGAAGTAGGATATAAAAATTTGAGCTATATGCTATAGGACAAGCTAATTGAAATCAGGCTTTTTTGGCCTGATTTCTCAGTGTATGATATTGTTTTTCTAACTGCTTTCTGTAAGAAAATCTCTTACCTTTTGAAGCTTTCCTTTTTAATATTTCATGGAACCTGATGCAACCTTTACCATAATATGCTTTTGAAAATGCCACAAGGGTGCCCTCTTGTGCACCAGAAACAAAATGCAGCTATTATCACTTAACGTACTATTATAACGCTAGCATAAAGAATGTAATCTGACCAATAAATTGCCTAAACTTGGATATTTTTCACACTACAAATCAATTAAATGCATAGAGAGAGCACAGTAGAATGTAACAGCCCTTTACAAGGACACAACATGTGTAGCTACTCAAACTGACTATTGTCCTGCAGTTGCTGTTCCTATTTCAAGCTGTTGTTTCTTTAGAAATCATTAGAGATTCACCTGTGGCCAGCCCAGTTCTGACTGCTTAATGCCTGTCATATGAAGCTTACCTCTTACCTGACATGATGTCAGAAAGACACAAACAGACAATACAGTTGTACTGGTGCTTTTATTTTCTCCTGTGAATGTTTCCAGTGCTTAAATTTAAAACATTCAGAAAGCACCGACTGAATATCAGTCTCCACATATTTTACATCACAGTTCAATAACAATGTTTACAATATATCTATGAAACACAGTGAACAAAATGGCATAGGTTTTTCCCCACAATCTTCTTTTGTAAACAAGTTCTTCCTGGAGGCTAGGTCAAGGGAATTGATACAGACAGATCATGGTATGAAAGCGGAATGACCATTCTTTCTTTAACATTTTAAATAAAGGACTATTTATAAATACACTCTGATTCTCCCAATATACATTTACAGACCTGATCATTTAAAAGCAATACTGACATTTCTCTTTAAAAAAGAAAATGTCGATAGATGAACTACTACAGGAATGATTCTCCTATGCAAAGGGAGAAAGAAGCAAGCACAGGTTTACATGAGTTAGAAGGAGCATCATTGTTCTTCAAACATTCCTGCTTGTACACCAACACAATGTGAAGAGGGTCATGGTCAGAAATAATCTACTTGAATTCGAGCAAGTTGCAGTCTATCTTGTAGTACACATAGGGGTAGTATTCCTGCTGACTGAGGTTCAAGCCTGGAATGTCCATAGTTGCCTGTAAATACAAGAGAGTTAAAAGCAAATAATAATTGTATGAAACGTTGGTGGGTTGCTGCTTGACCTTGCAAACCAGGCAAGAGCGATACACGACCCTTACTGAAATTAAACAAAATACCCCGTAAATTGCTTTTCCTAGCTTTATCAAACACCAAGAGTTCATTCAGATTTAGCCACTGCCGTGGTTCTGATCTTACTTTTTAAATTAACATCTTAAAACTCATGCTTTACAGTGAAAACAATCAGTTTTAAGAGATTTGTGTTTTGCAGCAGACATGCACTTAAGGTTCCAGGTGTTTAACAAACTTATCTTTGGTGCATGAAAATGATACTGTGGCTTTCCAAGTGTGGCTCTCTTGTGCTCATATATGCTACTCTTTTGGGCTGCAGCTACTGAAGAGTGTAGTACTGGTGTATTATTGTATGCATTACTACACTGACTAACTTGGAGAGAAGGACATGGGGGAAATTCACTGGAAAATAGAAAGAATACTATTTGGATACAGGAAACTGGATGTGCTTAGCATATCACAGTTGAATAGGCACATTATGTTCCCTGTAACATTGTACAAGACAGATACATGCCTATGCCTCCCCAGTGTACATATGATAAAAAATCTGTACATCCCTTAGGGAGTACAAAGCAGGAATCTCAGTAATTCCGCACCAGTGAAGCAGCCCTTCAAAGATGTATTGAGAAACAAAGAAGCATACTTGCACATTGCAGCTCATCTTTCAAGATTTCTTCCACATCCTTGCCACACAGAAAATTAATTTCATAAAGAAGAGATAGCTGGAAATCTCAGGTTTAATGTGTATCTCAATCAATTTCATTAGCTTATACAAATTGCTGCTCTCTTGCAATTATTTACAAAACAAATTCCCCTATTACCAACTGAGTATACTGGGGCTAAACAGTGTTTAAGAGGAGATGAATGATTTCAACTGTTCCACCAAAAAAGGAATGTTTTAGGAGGCTAAATGGAGGCATTCCTTTGTGACAGGCATCAAAGCAGCTTATGAATACCATGTCTATTCCATCAATGCACAGAGAATGTCATGAATCATACCACCTTTCATACTGGAAGCAGCAGCTAGAGGCACAAACCTGGATTGCCAGTGGAACATCATAAAGGTATGAGTTACTCACATCAATGATCGCTGCTGCACTGCTGTCAAGGTGTTTGTACAAATCATAGAGAACTTCTCTTAATTTTTTCATGGTTCTCTTGTTGGGTTGAAGGAGCATAGCCTGAAAGTTAACTGGCAAACCATACCTAAAGACAGGATAACATGTTTTTTAAACTTCTGCGTAAGTATCTGCTCACTCTTTTCACTTAGATAGAAGGGGTTTTTTTTTTCTTTCCACTCTGAAAGGGTAATTCCTCTTATTTTGCTTCACTTACTTAAATGCTTTGGGATCACATTCCCTGCCTTTCAGTTTACAAAATAATTGCCATAAAACGGTCAGCACATTTTCACTTCAAGCCCTTCTACCTATCCTGTTGCCTCTTTGAGAATTTCTTGTTGAGAATTGCTCCCTTGATAAATGATCTTACTAGGATTTGACAACTAAACAGTTCAACCAACAGACACTGACACAGACCATTTTTAAGAAGCACATTGCTGCAGAACTTTTCAAAGAGCAGAAAGAAGGAGCTGAAAACTACAAGATAGCCACATACAGGGATGTGCAATGAATCTGTTGGTGTGAGTGTCAAAATTCTGGCCAGTTCACCAGTGCTGAAGTGAGTCAAGCCAGCATGTGCTCTCCTGCATTTAAGTGGACTATGATTTGTGTATTTTTTATGGAAGAGAAATGTGCATAAAATATGGCTGCAAATTTGTGTAAAATACCTCTGCATTTGCACAAACTGCAGCTGTATTTTACATAAATGCCTTTGCCAAAGAACACCCCCCCCCCCCAACAAAATGTGCCAAAAACTGCCAAGTGCAAGGGGATAAATATCTTCAATGCTGCCCAGCCTGGCCCACAAATCTATTATAGCAGATGGTGAAGACTTACTGCTTCACAGAAGATACTAGAGTGCATCAAGTATCTTTATGTGTGTTTATTGCTACCATATGGTAAATTCTTAACAGCTGTGGTATGATTCCCAGTCATCTGTTTCCACCAAGCAACAAACATTATTCCATGTATTCTACTAGCAGCTAGATAAATAGCACACATACTCTTATATTAACTCTCCTCTGCAAAATAATTTCTTTCAAGGCAAGACAGCTGGGATAGCTGAGTAAATGTTTCTACTGTTTTACTGCCTACTGGCTTCTAGAAATGCTGTAAAGCATGCCTTTAGCCATGTTAACAAGTATTTAAGAACTGGCTCAGATGTAACACTCAATCTTGCATTCTGCCTTAGCAGAACTGGAACTACATGACTTCTCCTTTAGTGGAGTCTTCTGGTGGTTTCATATGCAAGAGAAAGATAAACTTTATCAAAAGATACATTTTTTACTTTTTCATTTATTAGTTGGGCTTTTATACCTTATATTATTGATATTGTGATGTGCCTGTATTAGCTTTTTTTCTGTATTTAAAAAAATTAAAAAGGGAGAAAAAAAGATACATTTTTAATCTTAAAACAAAGTGGGTTATTTGCTTGTATGTTTATCTTAGTAAATTTTATTCCTTTTTTACATGCATGAGATTTATGAAGTTCTTTGTTAAGATACTCCTTTAATACAGAGAATCCTGGTTGCTGTACTCCAAAAAGAAAGTATAGCTATCAAACTGAACAGGGGCAATAGCTCTTATCTATAGCATATAGAACATCTGTGGTTCTTAAAGGGAAAGGGCAATAGCTCTGAGAAATACCTTAAAACAGATTCAACAAAGACTCTTAGGGCTTTCACATGAATCCACGCAATGAATGCTTCACTGAAATTCACTTTCAGCCATCGGACTAGAGGCCCCTGTAATTGAACAGAAAGAGCAAAACCCATTTCAAATATCATAAGCATTTCTGCTAAATTAAATTGTGTTTTCTGTAAGGCAGTATTACTGCACTTGCCATATGGAATAGGCTGTAGTTTATCAAGATGAGAAGACTGAATACTGGAATAATTTTTGCTTGCCTGCAAAGCCAAACATGTAAGCATCATCATTCTTACTATTTTTCTACATTTATTCCTCCCTTTCTGTATTACTTCATGTCTAAGGCAGCTTAACTAAAACTATAAAATAGCAACTATATCAAAAGTAAACAATATAAGAGTAACAAAAAATTAAATATCTTAAGGAAAACAGCAAGCCATCAACATACAGAAGTGGCATAAATGAGAAAAAAGGAGTCAGTCATAGGTTACATATGGGAGGGGTCATCATCTGGCCCCCCAAAAGTCATAGGACTCTCCTGCCTAAAGAAGAGATACCACAGAGGTTCACCACACTGACCCCAGTCATTACCTGCCTCATTCTAAATACAAGGAGATTCTGAGAACGCAGGTATCAAGGGTCCCCATTTTTTAGATCTTTTCAAAGGGTCATGAATTTGGAGAGTAGGGGACAAGACAGCCATAAAAAAGGAACAGCTGCTTAGTATTATATAACATTATCTTGTTAAAACAGGTTCTCTAGAGATACAGAGCCAAACGCCAATGTGGAGAGACATGTGTTCTCTTCATGTAGAAGACATCACAGGACATCAACAATGTCTTGTACATGCACCAAAGGAATTGAGGCCTGTATGCAGGAAAGAACTGCAGGCCAAATACGTTTTCCATCGAGTCAGCACAAGGTCAATGCCACACATGCCATAGCCTCTACAGAGATTTCTAAAGTGCAGGCAAAACTAACCTTATATAGAATCAGACAGCTGAATGGGAATTTAGAGATCATCTACCTCCTCCTCAATGCAGGATCTTAAATGCAGGATGGACCTACACCAAAGGTGCGCAATCTTTTTTGTCCCGGAGGACCACATCTGGTGTTGATATGCCTGGCCAGGTTTACACATGCACAAGCACACACTCTTTCCTCTCCAAGCAGTTCACCCTCCCAGTAGCCTGCACACACATACCTCTCAATGTGAAGGGATGGGAAAATTTAAACCTATTCTCCCTGCCTGCTGATATCAAAGAACTGCTAGGGAATTGGAGCAGCATTAACCTTTCCCAGGAACCTCCAGCATTTCTGTGGTACTACTAGTGGTGGAAAAACAGTATCTCACTGGTTGGGTCAGTTGGGACTGGGAATTGTAAAGCCTCTCCCAGTCTTCACTGAGACTGCAGTCCTGACACTGCTAATAGCAACGTTAGAACACTATGCCTACCCCCCATAATCCAACTGATCAAAATTCTCCACTCCACAAGCAGTACAAGAAGTATCTGAAGGGCCTCAGACGGTGGATTGTGCATCCCTGAACTACAGCATGCCTGGCAGATGGCCATTCTGCCTTTGCTTAATTTTTTCTTTCTTGGTTGGTTGGTTGGTTGTACTTCTGTATTACCCCATGGCCACAAGTCTCTGGGCAGTTTACAAATATAAAAGAACCAATGAGGTACCACCATCTTTCAAAGCAGTCACCTCAGCACTAAACAGTTCTTACAGTCAGGACTTGTCAGCTAGTGTTTAGCTGAGAGCTGCTTCCTGCAATTTGGAGCAATCAAGAGCATGTCTGCTCTATTTACAATATGACAGTTCCTCAGTTATTTGAAGACTGCTGTCATGTCCCCCTTAATCTTTCCTGTACTAGGCTAAATATGCCCAGTTCTTTTAACTGATCCGCATGGGGCTCAGATTCCAGAGCCTTTGCCATTCCGGTCATCATCCTCTAGACATGCTTGTCAATGTCCCCCTTCTTAAAATGGTGCACTCAGAGATGGCCTCGACAGGCCTCCCAGCCAGTGCAGAATATTGGGAGCGGTAGAATGGAACTACTACCTCCTGTGACCTGGATTCCATGTATTCTCTTTTCAGCAGCTGCATCATGCTGTGGGCTCGCATTCAGGGTGCAACCCACCTGACATTTTGATCCTTTTCACACCTGTGGCTACCGAGCCAGGTCACTCTCATCCAATATTTGTGTCTTATTTTTTGTACCTAAAAGGAGGACTTTACATTTAACTTTGTCAAATGTCATCTTTGGATCCTGTCAAGATCATCTTGAATCTTGATTCTGCCCTCTGTGGGGATAGCAAGCATTTCCAGATTTGTGTCATCTGCAAATTAGCGGGAGAATCCAATGGTGCATTTATACCTGGCGCCTTTACACCCCACCAATTCCCATTTGCAAGCAGGACTTGTTGCCTCCAAGGAAACTAGAAGAGCAAAAGTGCCTGTTTCCGGAACCGAACAAGTGAATGGAGCTCACATAAGGGAGGTTCATTTAACTTACAAACTGTTTCTTCTTATCAGTAGACAGCCTGTTCATTTCTTCTTTGTCTGCCTTCATCTCTTCTTCATTATACTGAAAGTCACGGACCATAAATCTGCAATGGAAGAGGAATGCACGTTGCAGACTGCTGCAGAACTACCATGCAACAGCAAAACAAGCTGGAGGACCACTTACTTGTTTTCCCTGGCTTTGTATCTGAACTCATCCACTACCTTCCTGAACAAGGTGACATTACAGAGGTAACTGTCCTGGTCCTCAGAGAGAACACTGCAGAGAAAAGGACACCAGAGATCACAGACTAAAAAGCAACCATGGAACTGTCACACTGCAATAAAAACAGTAGTTAGTAACTCAAGACTAGCAAGATCAGTTTAGCAGCTTGTGCATCATGTACTGCTGGATTGCAATGCTAGGTTTACAAACAGTGTGCCTCTATTAGAGAGGACTAATTGCGGCTCACTTTCACTATGCTAAGGAGGAGTATTCAGCTCATATTTCAACATGTAAAGCTGTTCCTTTCGTAGCAAAAGCTAGCTATACTAAATCAAAAAAGTATAATTTAAATGTCCTCTTAGAAAGTGACTGTGAAAAAAAAGAACTCCCCATCTTTATTTACTTCAGATTTTGGTTATTATGTGGTTAGCTTTTTCATGTATGCTCATCAGCTTCCACACACCTCCCTCAAGGATAATAATTTAGAGGTCAAAACCTTCCTTAGTTGTCAGGACCTGCTGCTCAGAAAGCAGGAGGATCAACAGAAGGTCAGAAGAAGAGGGAGGGAGAGACGGACATAAAGACAGACAGACAAACTCAGGAAACAGAAATTTAGTTTGCAAAAAGGAATTTGAAACTGTGCTCCTAATTGTTGAAATGGGGAAGAAAAGAATAAAGTGGAAAAAACAAGCAGAGAAACAGGAGAAAATAGGAGAAAGAAAGAAGGAATGAAGTCCAGAGTTCTAGAGTAAAGAAAGCATCACAGGCTGTAATTGAGAAACTGATGAAAAGAACTAAGCAGTGACACTAAGGCATTGCTTGGATAAGGAACCTGGATAAAATCAGGACATGGTTTTACCTGTTGATATTTTTTTCAGTAACATTTAAACTTTGTTATTTGAAAGTTGGTAGTTTTTCTCTTTTTGTTTGTTTGTTTTTTAGGTTACTCAATAGCCAAACTCTATTCTATCTAAAGTGCATACTTGAGATATAGGGAGTTTTGAGTGGTTGATGAAGGCAGCCAGAGAAATAAAGATTTCCATTTTGTAGCTGCAGAAAAAGTCACAAAAAGGGAACATGGAACAGGGATACATTATTTATCCTGTTTTCCCTTCCACTCATAGAACAGGGCATTGCCAGTCTATGACAATGACACTATGCTAATTTCAATTTGCATTTCTGCAACAGCTGTTAGTAGCTCCATTGATTTTATCTACTTAGTAAGTGTAAAGAGATTGTATAAGAGATGTGTAAAGAGATGCATATTCATCATAAATATCTGCTGTAGAAGGCAAAGGACATGTCAAAGAAAAATAATTTTAGAAAGTACAAGTAACTGGGAAAAAAGGAAAAATATTTACAACACACTGCAGTCCTTGGCCCACTTCAACTGGCTGGAGCAGAGCAATCAGAGCAGCTCTCATGTCCATAGTGCATCTGATGCATCAGACTCATGTGTTACTCAAGACAGCCGACTCCATAGCAAAGTCTCGCAAGCCATGAGTCAGGAGGTCACCAAACCACACTCTGTATAGACAAGAAAAATGCTTTCCTAGTCTGTTCTGGGATGGGCAGGCCCTGCATGACACATCACCCCCTGAACACTTCTTTGAGGGAGCCATGAGGGCTCAGGAAGAAGAAAATGAAACTTGAAAAAGAAGTATTTGGGAGTGGGGCAGGGTAAGAGAGAAAGAAAGAATAAGGGAATGAGGAACAAAAAGATGATGATGATGATGTCAAAGATTAACAGGAAGAGAAATTGGGATTGGAACAGATACTTTAAGGCTAAGAGAATGCTTAAGGAGGAAAATAATACAGGAAGTTACTACGAAGAGAGAAATAATAAAGTTACAAAAATTATCACATGCCCTTCCTGCCACTTGAGCTAATGGAAGGAGTTAAGTCAACTTTTAGCCCACTCTATAACTCCAACAGAGAATTAAAGGTGCTGCCATACATTATAATTGCTCTATGAAGTTTATTTGCAAATAGGGTAGCAATTATATTCACTGTAAGGGGATCCAGTCTGGATTGAATGCTCTGACTTAAATCCAGGTAGAAGGGAAAGAGAAATCTTAAAAGAGATTCATTTAGAGAGTAAGAATTGTGGCTTATTTGAAGTATTAGACAAGTTGAGTCCTCAAAAATTTGTTTTCCTCTTCTGCTTTGGTTTGTTAGCCAGCTTATTTCTAACTTTATTAATATGTCAAAAGAGATTTGAAAAGTAAAATAAAACTCACTTGCTTGATCTTGGGACGATCATATCTGTTAAAGTTTCATACTGCTTCATCCAATCATTGTAACTTACCCTAAAAAAAAGAAAAGTTGTAATTCGCTGCCTTAACAAAAATCCAGGGAAGATGCACGAAGTTCTTTTCACTATTGTAACAATGCCGCTGCCTTCAGGACTACCCACAATCAGAACAGCATCCAAAGAATATGCTGGTGCATGCCCCAAGCAGTCCCTGGCGGACAGAGAGGAGCCACCTATCTTCCTTTCCAGCTACAGGTCATGACATTGCATCAGATGTGGTTCTGACAAGTCCTTGCTCTTCAGGTGTATAGAAGGAGCGGATGCAGTGCCTGAAAAGCTCCTCTGTATCTACCAAAACACATACTTGGTTCTTTGGATCCAGGCTTCTGCTGGCACAGACCCATTTCAATTCAACAAAACTTGAATTACTTGGTTCCTTCAAGCATCATTACCCTTGGGGAAAAAAGGCTTCTTTGCAATTCACAAAATTCATCCCTTTCAGCCTGACAAATATGGAAAACCCGTGACTGCTGAGGTAATAAATTATGATCTAGGAAGCCATTAAATATTAATCAATTTAACTTGACTGGAGTTAATTGTTAAGAATACAAATAGGGCTCATATGAAATGTAAAAACCTTCTAAAAAAATTCCATGGCAGATGACAAAGGATTATGCTGTCCAATTTTTATAATCTATTTTTAGCATCCTAAAAGAGGCTACACTTCAGCATTTCTAGGAATCACTCATTCCAACTAGAATTTGGGAAGAGAAAATTTGCACAGATTAACTCTTTTACACACACACACACACACGTTTTCCAGAAGTGCTTGGCCTCTATGTCTTTTCCAAACAGAAATATTTTAGGTGTGCTATACCTATGGAACACCTGTCGCATGTGAAACTATGGGTCAAATGTGCAGTTTACAAAAACAGTTTTACAGAAGATGTCTATACATTTGTATTAAGTAATTATCACTGGATTCAAGGGACTTACTCTAAGGAAACATACTTACATTTAAAGAATTAGATAGCTGGCTTAAGTTTTCAAGTACAGCTTTCAGATAGGAGTGGATTACTTGAGGCCCTCCAGATATTGCTAGACTGCATCAGCCCTAGCCAGCATAGCCAAAGGTAAGGAATGATGGGAGCGGAAGTCCCAGCAGGCTGCCTACCCCTATTTTAGATCATATTGTTGATCCTGGGCTTGCACAGAAGTTGTTCCTAGTGAATTGCACATATTGTGGTTTTGTACTTCGAGTTTACTGTTTAGGAAAGAACAGCTGGTCTTCCTGAGGCTGAACCTTTCATATTAAAACATAAATTCAAAATGCTTATCTTCTAAATTTCCATGCAATTCTATGCACACTTAGTTGAAATAAGTGCCCCTGGGTTCCATGCTATTTGTTCAGGTAAGAGTGTATAGTTTTGCATTGGGTCCATATATTTTGGGTCTAAATATCTTCCTAAAGCACTTACCTGTTTCAACTGCCATTAAATAGCTAAAGCAGGCATGGATACAATTTAATATTAAAATAAAAATAAAAGTTATATTATTTAACAGTTCTTACTATATTAACAGTTCTTACTATATTATATATGTTGGGAAGAGCAATACAGAAATTTAGGATCTACTAAAATCCGAAGATAATTATAAAAACAACTACTAAATGGACTTCCTATTTGCCTTCTGTTCTGCTTTTTAACAGCACTAAGATGCCTTCCTTTTTCAAGAGTAGTAATTCCTTCAGCAGAACCTTCTGGTTTGTACATTTGTTTTTAATTTTGAAAGAACCACTTGCATTCTTCTAGTAATTTAGCTGCATTCTTCACACAATTTATCTTGGTTATATTATCCTAACAAAAGCAGTCTAGAGTATATTAGGGCTGCTAATGCTTTTCTAAGATTACAAGGTAAAGTGTGGAACATTGGACAAACAAGACAGATGATACTCTAAGACACAAGTGTCAACTGACTTTGGTAAATCTAATTTCCAAGCTAACACTTCAATGAGCTACTATAAATCAGTAAGGATTTCTTAAACCAGAGGAGTTTAAATGGGCAGATTTTGCTGTACTAGTAACAGTTCTTTCATTTACATGAGAAACACTGAATGACTAATTCCAAACTGTTTTCATTGAAACTGATACACTGGAAAAACAAAGCCATGACTGCACATACTCACACACACAGTTTTTGTTAGCGTATGTGACAATTCAATGCTAACTGATGTCAATTTCAATGAATAAATAATACTGTAAGAAGTTTATCTCTCTTGTTAGATCCTTTGTTTCTCTTTGAATTTATATTTCTGTGAATCCCTCTTTTGGGACCAGGAACTTGACTTACTTTGGTACAACCACTAACAAAGTAATCAGATATTCAGAATCAAGTACAAAGTCGTCTTTCTTTACAATTTCTGCCAGACTTCTCGTTAGCAAACTTCCCCTATCAAGAACAAAAAACAAAACAAAACAGGAAGTAAGTTTACAATTCTAGACTTAAATGAATAACATTGCTTTTGGTAGTGAATAGTTAAAATTAGTATAGTATTATTGATGTATACAAGAAGTCATCTTTTATTGTTCAGATATACTTAAGAAAGATAACTGATACAAATAAAAGTTTGTACAAAAACGTTGAGGTTATGCAGTAATGCACTACTCAGCTGATCAATACATACTTATAATAGATATATCAAGGATTTACTACCCTTCCAATAGTGCCTGGTCAAATCAAAGTTCACAAAAATGTGTAAGCCTTCTAAATTTCCAGATCTTTTCATCAGACAAGATGTTGCAAAAAATCACATATATTATAATTTGCTTTAAAGAGGCAGGCTTTTTTTCTTTTAAATATTTTAATTTTTAATTAGCAGTTACTGCCTTGTTAAAAAACTGGAATATGTCCAGAGAAGGGCAGCAAAGATTATGAGAGGCCTGGAAACCCTAGGGCACAGGCTGAAAGAATTTTATATATTTAGTCTGGAGAAGAGATGATTAAGAGGCAATGTGATAGCCATATATAAGAAGGGCTGTCATGTGATTGATGAAGCAAATTTGCTTCCTATTGCTCAAGAGGTTAGGGCCTAACCCAGTCAGTTTAAATTACAAGGAAAAAGATTGACACATTAGGAAGACAGTACAAGCTATTTGACAGTGGATTGTACTGCCTCAGATGTGGTAGATTCTCTTTTGGTAGAGATTTGAAAGCCAGAGTGACTGGATGAACACCTATCAGGAATGTTGCAGTCACAGATTTCCAGTACTGGCAGGAAGGAAGATTAAATTACTTTTGAGCTAACTTCTGTTTTTATGATTCTGTGAAATTGATAACTTGGAATCATTTTTGAAAAGGATAGTTTCCTCAGTCTATACAGCAAAAACAGCTTTGAAAAGGGTACTGTTTTACTAACTACCTAAGAGAAGACTAGTTTTATATAAAGACCAAGATGTAAATTTAAGTATGCCCATAGGCTTGCATATTCTCAGTAGGATCTTTTTTCTCCAACTAATTTTTAGGTTTCACATACAGTTTCCTACTGTAAGGATCTGGTATGAAATATACAAGTCCAAAGCTTTCTTGGGCGCCATTCTTTAGATCCTGAACAGAGAAAAAACACTTATTTGGAATTTCTCTCCCTTCCAAACATGAGTTTGTGGCTTAAATCCAAAGATAGCGTAGCCTGCTGTTTCAGGCTCTTACATGACTTTCTTGCACAAATCAGAAGTTGCATTGAAAATAACCTAATAATGAGATTGCTCTTAGACCGCCTTATAGAATGCCCAACACAACTCACGCGTTCTTCCTTTCCAAGTTCTGAAGGTTCCCTTTCAGGCTATTGTATGCTGATGCTCTCGCCTTTAGATCATTGTCAATCTGAGTAACTCCCTTTAAAAACAAAATTCAGAAACAAAACAGTATCAAATTAAGATTTTTCTATAAAAGATGCAATGTCCTGTAAACAAAACATTATTTTTTTAAAAAAATTAAGAATAGGCATAAGGAAATGAGACAAAGCATGGACATTTAACCTTTATCATTCACCCATGGTTTTATAAGTGAACTAAGCCACATGATTGAGTGGAAAAATACTTTTAAAGCCATCTAAATTAGTAGCCTGCAAAGTGAATTCCATAGTTAATGCTTTTATCTGCCCTGAATTTCCATCCCAATCATTTCATGGGATGAGTCCTAGTTCCACTATTGAGAAAGAAAAGCATGTCTTCCTATCCACTTTTCCCACACCATGCATGGTTTTGTGCATATCTATCACATCTCTGTTTACTCTCCTTTTTTCTAAACAAAGCAATCCCAGCTCTTATAACATTTTTCCATAAAGAAGTTGCTCTACCCCCTTGTCTATTTTACTTGTCCTTTTCTACACGTTTTTCAACTCTACAATATCCTTTAGGTGTGATGTACACAGTATTTTGTAGCTGTACTATAGATTTGTATAAGGGCAACCTCATATTGCCAGTTTTATTTTCAAATCCTTTACTAATAGTGCCTAACAATGAATTTGCCCTTTTAGGAGCAACTGCAGAATGAATCAACCTTTTCATTGAACTGTTCACTACAACCCCAAGATCTCTCTCTCTCGGTCACCATTAGCTTATATTTGAAGCTGAGATTTTGTGCCCCAGTATGCATTACCTTATACTTGCTTATACTGAACCTCATTTGCCATTCTGATGCCCATTCTTCCAGTTTAGAGAGCGCCTTTTGGAGCTTTTTCAGGTCCCTTTTTCTTTTAACCACTCTCAATAATGAGATGTCATCAGCCAACTTTGCCAGTTTACTACTAATTTCAGATCATTTATGAATAAGTTGAGAAGCACTGGCTCTAATACACACACCTGTGGGACCCCACTATTTTCATCCTTCCATTGGGAACATCTACCATTGATTCCTGCTCTGTGCTTTCTGTTCTTTAATCAGTTATCAATCCCTTCTTACTACATGACTGCTAAGTCTGCTCAGGAGCCTTTCATGACAAACTCTCCTGAAAGCCTTTTGGAAGTCCAAGTAAACAATGTCCACCAGATCACCCCGTCCATATGTTTACTGACACTCTAAAAGAACTAAAAGGTTAGTGAAATAGGATATTAACACTGAAAAGCAATCAAGTAGTCGCTACAGCTTACAAGGCTTGGATTAATATAGGCCTGGTGCAGAGCCTATATTCTTTTCGGCATCAAGTCAAAACCTTTTTATTTAAGTGTTATTTTAAAATTAGCATTTTAATGGTTTTACAGTCACTTTTGATTTGATTTATTTTTATTGGTTATATATTGTTTTATTATATTGTGATATTGATTGTTTTATTGAATTCTGTTTTTAATGCTGTAAGCCATTCTGAGATGTTATACATAAAGGACAGCATATAAAAGTTTTAAATAAACAAACAAACAGACCTTACATTTTGGTAATAAAATTACTGCAGTTTCTAATGATGTGGAATGGGAATTCAAGACATATCTCAGACTTGCCCAATTTCACATGCCCAGTGGAATTGACTTTTGCCTGTTTGAATAACCCCCACATCCTATCAGTCTTTAAAGTCCCCTCAGTTTCAAAAAGCAACTTGGGGGGCTAGTACTGAACAAAAAGGAACTTTTCTGAAAGAGGTTCCCTTCAGGTCCTAGAATTAATTCTGCCTATTTTCCATTCCTGAGCATAACATTTTCATTAAATGAAAGCTTTCGGAAATTCTAGCAAGGCCTAGTCATGGATCTTTACTGGTTAACTTTCACTTCTGGGGTACTGTTTCTCATCTGTTGCTCCAATGGAAAGATTCTAAATGCAATATGGGCTACATCCAGTGCCACACAAAGGGAAATCTGCTTGTGCAATGGAATGTTCTCTTTTCTCCAAGAGGATCCAGGGGAAGCAGGGGGAGTAAGAAATTCACTCTGCTGGCTGATGCAGTATCAATGATGGATGAACATAAGTGGATGTCTCCCAATATTGTATTTGGCCTCCCCAGTATTTTTCAAGAAAAGGAACTTAAAAGCATCAGAAGATTTACTGGTAGCATTCTTTTTGAAATCTATGAATTTGCAAAATGTTAACTTGGAAAACTGCAATCATTTACATGAAATGATCATATCTGACTAATCTGAACATCTAGTTCAAGGGGACAAAAAGTAAAAACTATGAATTTGCAAAAAATTAAGTTGGAAATATGTAATTGTTTACATAAGGAATCATATCTGACTGATTTGAACAGCTAGTTGAGGAGGATCCTCCTGAATCTACCACTTCCAAAAAATGGCAGCAGCACAGCCACAAGCTTCTATTGCTAGCTCTACCAAAAGAAGTCCTTCTCTTATCTTTCAGCTCTAGGTTGACAAGCATGTTGCTCAGCACTGTGTGTTTGTGAACGTGTGTGGCTCCTTGACACCATCTAGTGCAGCCCTTTGGGCCCAGACACTTGTGCACCCCAATCTAGAGTAGTTACTGAAGGGTTGCACTTGGAGGAATCTGAAACACAACTGAACACAGGGAAAAATAGTATTTATTCATGAGACAGACACGTTCTTGTTCATACACATATTGTTTTAAATCTGTGAATCATCCAGGGAATCACTGCCAAGAATTGAGAAACTGCCAAGTATAAGAAAAGTAATCAGTAGGTCACCATGACCTCCAGGAAAGGCTATAACTATACTATCCACACCCAGGGAAGGCTGTAACTGTATTTGGCACAAATGATATTTTATCTTCTTCTCTGATCCATTTTGCTCAGTGTCCTTGCACAACACAATGGTACCATTGATTAGAGGTGATTATTTATTTAGACACTTAATCCACAGGAGCAACATCAGTTCTTTCCTAGCAAGCACAGTTGCCAGTCACCCTGCAGCTGAAAGGAATGGCTTCACATCCTTCTGCTGATGAATAGCTATTCCCACTCATTTCCAAAGGCCTAGGTGAAAAACATGCTGGGGTGCTGGCTGGGTGTGATGGAAAAGAAAGGGGTTGCTTTATTTCCTCTTAGCTCACTGTGGAGAAGAAAGGCTGACTTGAGGGCTAGTTTTTGCTATAATCAACGCAGGTAGACAGGCTGGAGCAGAGAAAGGTTCATCAGCTACAGAACACAGATTGACTACATACTGCCGCTTTGGACAGTGGTAAGCAACTTCTTGGTTTGGGACTGGTGGCAAAATCCAAAAGGGCACGTGTGCTCCTGTCAATTCCTTCCTACCCAACAATTACCTTTTGCAAGCGGTGGGCCCGCTCCAAAGCAGTTGCACAAGAAGAACCCATCACGTAAGTCAGGCAGATTCATGGCTTCCTAAGGGAAAGCCCCAAATGAGCAAACTGAGTCTGTGGCCTAATAATGGTCCTCGACCTCCACTAACCTGCCACGTTAGACGAATTGTGTTTAATAAGCACAGGCTAGCTGTCCAAGTACTTCTAATGAGAGCCACACATGCACAACTGACAAAATGTAAGCAGTTAAAGCTACATTTATAATTTGTTTATTTATGTTTCACTTCTACATTAAGCTGAAAGAAAAATAAACTACTTTATTCATACCCCATCCTTAGACCTCCTTCTTACAGCTAGAGTTTTCATTTTTCTTGAGCCCAGAAGTCAAGGCAGCCTCTGCCATTTGGGAATAACCATTCACAGTGATTCACCAAGGATTTCTCAGTGCAACCAACATTTTGCTTAGATCTCAAGAGCCTGATCTTTCCTAATCTTGGAAGCTAAGCAGGGTCAATCCTGTTGAAATCTGTATGGGTGACTTAAATGTTGTGAACTGCCCAGAAAGCTGCAACTACGGGCAGTATAGAAATGTAATATAATAATAATGGGACTTATGAAATCAGTATACCAACTCCTCTATTTTAACCATAAAATGTTCTATGATACAGTTCTTATTCATTTAAACAGGGCCAAACATACACATCCAAGCAGACATCATTCTCACTCTCCATTGTCTCTATTAATGGTTATCTGAAACCAGGACTAATTAGCATTATTCAAACAGCTTCTCAAAATAAGCAAAGGGGTTCCTCATGACTGACTGAATTTATGTAATTTTTTAAGCAGTTTGGAAACTCTGGAGACATTTTCCCAATCCAATATCCTCCAGCCATGTTGAGCACCAACTTCCTTTATGCTCACTCAGAATAATGGTAGCTGTAGGCCAACACATCCAAAGAAACTAGGTTTGAGCAAGCTGTTGTACAGCAGAAAGTAACCTAATGACAAATGGGTGGTCTATGGAATGCATCCATTCCGTGACCATATTTTCTGCAGTCCATTTGCTGTTGCCCTTTGGTATACTAGGCAGATAGTGAAGACTTTAGGATATCTGGGCTATCTTTCTGTCAAGCTGCATTAGTTCTCTTGAATACATGTGATCAATACTCATTCCATCACTTCAAATATTCATTATATTATTTCTATGGCATGCAAGACTGTCTTAGTGGTGACAAGGGGTATTTTTCACTTCCTAAAAATGACAGTTCAATGCTTTCATTTATCTGCACATTAAATCATTGTATGTTTTTACAGAAACCAGTGTGTGCTTTTGCAGCACAGAAGTTCTCTTAGGCTGATCAAGATCAACTTCAGTGTTTCAAAAATCCTTGGACACAAGAACAATCTCACTCTATGTCCATGGAAGTACAGACTACAAAAGCTTGGTTTAGAAATTCCTCATAAGAACTACAGTACAGTCACTACACTATAGGAAAAAATACTGGTAATGAGACAAACTCTGTATGAGTCCATAATCAAGGATGGAACAGAAGTGGTGGCAAAAATCTGCCTTTTCCCAAATACTGGTGACTGTGGTGAGGATTTATGAGGGAATGATATTATATCAATGTAGTAGTTTTATAAGCCACTTCAACTGGTTTTATTATTCCATGATTCTAGTGTCATGGAATAATGGTCCTATGTGTCAAAATTTCTAATACTTTTATTTTTTTATTTATTTAGATATTTTAAGACATATTTTTAGAACATGTCAGCTCAGAGTGATGAACAAAATACAATTATAAAAATAAAAATACAGAATATTATGAACAAGAAAAAAAGCTCAGAAGTCTAATCCAAAACCAGCGCCACACTAAAATACACTTTCACCAGGACTTTTAAAAAACCTTCCAGAGCCACAGCAATAAAACACTAACACAATCCATAATAATAAATAATTAAAAGTCATTTGTAACAGGTGGATTTTCAATCCTTTTAAAATACCATAACCAATAGGGGCCAAACCCACATCTCTCGAAACAGAACTCTATAATGGAGAAGAGCATCTGCTAAGAAGGCCCTGCCCTTAGTGCCTGATAATCTAAGTGATTTCAAATCAATTTTTATGCTAAAACTATAAAATTACTTCATTTGTCATTGCAATTCTTGTAAAAGAAAGAGACAGTAGATAATTCAAGATGTATTTCTAAAAGGATCGACATTCATTTTAGACATTAAAGAGTCTGTGAGGACTGCCACTGAAAACTAAGTGTGAATACATGTGAGCCATTTCCTATACAGAATAACCATAAAGATGGGCAAAGAAAGCTGAAGGAGAGCAGAGGGAAGATGAGGAGACAGTGTTTTGTCCTTTGGAGTGTAATGAGGACAAGGCTCAGGTTTTTTGTGAGTCCAGTAGCATGGGACCTGCAGGCCCACCGAGCCTTCCCCTCAGCCCTTCTCTTCAAATCTCATGGCTTTAATGGGGCTTGTTTCTGCGTAGACATGTACAGGGCTGCGTTGTTCGTACTGTCCATGAGGGTGCTAGTGTTCAGGTCTCAGGCAAGCTGTTTCCTTGGGGTAGAAGCAGGTGGTGTGACTAGTGCAACAGAAGCAACAGCAAAGATGGCTGACTGGGCTGGATGGTAGCTGGCACTCAGGCACTACTTCCGCCATCACGTTGCTTGGATCTGTTAGCAACTAGTGTGTGTTTAGGCTCTGCAAATGCTGCTCATTTCCCTTCTGACAGTACATGGTGACTGTGTGATTTGCTGTGTGTTGGGCAGGTACAGCGTTGAGCCTGGTTCTGTTGAAGGCCAGATGCTAGGAAGATCTTGCTACAACATCAACAAAGACATGGGGGACTGCAGCAGGTGAGCAAGGGTGGTGGTGAACTGGCAGGCAGCAGTGAGCCTGCTCATTTCAGTAGAATCTATAATACAACTTCTACCACCAGTAGCCAATAGTGTATGTTAACTCTGCAAAAACTAAATCAGGATAACAAAGGTCTCTAAAAATTGAGAAAACACCTAGTTTATCTCCAGCAGAAACACAAAAAGCACAAGTGGGTATATTTAATCAGAAGTCTTATTGAGACTTCTTATTGAATCTCAGAAGTCTTACCGAGTTCAATAGATGAATGGACAAGATTGTAGCTGTAATATGGAGCCCAAGTTGTTAATGGGTCCAGCTATACAAAGATGCCATTTTACAAGTTCATGGTATATAATATGCACAATTCAAAATCAAACCATTTATTTCTAGAATGTAAGTTTCATGAGCCTTTAAAAAAAATCTTACCTTGGCAATTATTTCTGAAATATTCTTCAGAGACTGCTTGATTGGATACTTTGCCATATCCCACTGGAACCTTGTTATATAGGTGACTAAATCCACTGCAAACAAAAGATTACATACAGGTTTCATTATGCAAGCAATAGTCCTTGTTATGTTACTTGCCACTTATAGCAACACGTCAAAGCCTTTGGATATTGTATAAATGCATTAAGTCTTTAAATATTCAGAAAAGGCAGTTTTTAGAAAAAAGAAATCTGGAAGCAAGTAAATCTGGAAGCAATGGAACCACACAGAGGTATTGGGATTTTTTCTTCTTGCATAATAACTTTTGTCCATGCACATAATTAAAATGAGAAGCAAGAATGAACAGAACAGAATTCTGAAAAATATTCTATATCGTGCTAAAATTGAAAGGGTGGGAAAAATTGCCCCTAACATTTTTTTTCTGCAAAAGTTTTAAGGTATACTACTGTCTGTCTGTTGCTTTGGATTACCTAACTATAACAGCTGATTCTCAAATTGATGAGTAGCAATTTAAAGTCAAAAACCACTCTGAGAAAACCTAACTCTTCATTGGCCTGCTATGATAATGCATGCCTTTTGTCATCTTAGCTTTTAGAAGTTACTTATGAGAATTGTGAAAAGTATTTACACTTACATTATGTACTGGTGTTCAGGAATGACCCCTCTAAGAGTTACAAGTTCATCTATTTGTATACTTAGTCTCACCTGCCCCTACTTTCTAAGGAGTCTGAGGAGAAAACTGAATTAATATTCTAAGAGAGGGCTGTCGGTAGTGGATTTAACTTTCATAACAGGTTTCTTCTTTTTTGTATAATATACCAAGTGCAGAGGGTTGATAAACAAGAGCAGCTTTATTATAAACAGTTGTATTACTTATGAAAGCAGAATTATTTATGTAAGGATGTTTTAAAATATGTAAAAACTTGCTTTTAACATAAACCAGAAATACGGTATATTGTAATTATAAAATTAAAAGGTGATGAGGCATTACTCTGCCTAGAGAAGCTTTCTTCAGAGACTACACTTCTTTATGGGTTGATCATCTAGAATTCTTGGTATCACTTGTAAAATGTGATTTACCAGAGCCATAGGAAGATGTTTTCTATATTTCAATATATAGTTCTATATAATCCTCAACATCCAAACACACTCTGTACATTAAGTTAATATTTACCTCCATTGGCCAGAAGGTTTTCCTGAACCTTATCTCTACTGTCCTCGAGCACATCAGCCATATACTGTGCCACCTTCTTGACAACACTGAAGACCAGAAAAGAGGAGAGTTGAAATGAAGGATAGATTCTAATTTATCTTTCTTTCCCAAGAGTAAGCTTATCAGTAGCTCAAGAACTATATTGAACAGGACTCAGTTTACATCACAGTAACTTGGACTGTGCCAGACTGATAACCAGTTGATTGTTACAATGCTGTTTAAATTACTGTCCATAAAACTTGTCTGCTTTATTAGAAAGATCTGTCCTTTATCCTAAGAAATGTGCATGTACTTTCTAAAAGCTAGGCAGTGTCCTTGGGTTTTGCCACCTTTCATCCAATTATGAAGACCTGTCATCACTTCCTGTATTAGGTCAAATTCTTTCTGAATCAGGCAGTATAGTGCATAACTTTAAATACCTTTTAGTGATATATATAGCCTAAACACAGCCATTCAAAAATTTAGTGTAATTTATCATTTGCCACTTTGGATGTAGTGGAAAATAATATTTGGGTAAACCAGGAAATAACAGCAAGCACAAGAGGAACAGCACACTGTGTTATGTCTGGCCAGACTCAATGTTTCTTAATTTCTCCCTTTCCCCTTAGATGGGGCCTCTGAGCCTATCCAGAGAGGTGTTCTGACAAGGGCTGGGCTGCGATTGGGGAGGATTTCTCACATCCTGCCCCTCAGCTCCTCCCTCTATTTTTTGGAACACCTGCTTTTCTTTCCCTCTGAGGCTGCATCCAACACCTTGAGAAGCAGCCAGTACAGTTCTTTCTGCAGCAGCTGTGAGGGATCAGAGGGTTAGAACTCGAGGCCCCCCACCTCAAAGTCATAGCAGTATCTGGTTTTGGGAGGGGGAACTACAAACAATCATATGGTCCCTGGGACACTTTCCCAGAGCCACAGTACTGCTCTCTGAAGGTGCAATCCAGTATCTCCCACCCTTGACACATGTAATGGAGATTCACATGTACCCACTGTAGCAGCCTCTGCCACTGCTATCCCTTTTGTCTTGCCTTTTAACTGGACAGTTATTCCTGGCACACTAGAGATAGTGAGGCAGAGGGAAGAAACTGGGACGCTAATAAGAATCAATGCAAGGGGACAGTGTCAGCTCCCCTCCACACCCCCTGGCATGCCTCTTTTCCCCCTCTCCAAAGGAGAGGCAGCTAGCCTGATTCTTTTCAGACTGGCTGTGAATGGGACAGACTGGGGCTTGGTCTTCCAAGCCCTAGCTCTGAGGTTGCAGGAACTTGCTGTTGGGACTCCAAATATTGGGAGGCCATAGAATTGTGCCCTATGCAATTAATTAGCTCAAATAACAAATTATAGTTAATTAGCAGTTAACATTTACACTTTTCTATGGATATCATTCTGAAAAAATGATGGCTCAGCTATTGAATGATTATTAATAGTAATAGTAATACTATTTACCCTTCCACAAACGAATCCAGTTTGGCTAGTTCATCAGACAGGCCCACTAAAACATCAAGGGTGCCAACCTAAAGAGGATAAGACTTACTTCAGATCAAGACATAAAAAGCATAAAACTGCAAGAGAGAAGGTAACTAGTGCCACAATCCTACACCCAATGCAATGGACTTTACTTTCAAATAAGTGTACACAGGATGCTTTTTCTGCATAAAAATATTTATCTATCTATTAAATTTCTAACCTGCCCCATTAGCCATATGGCTCCCTGGGTGGGTTACAGAAATAAAATACATAATAGAATAAAATACAGATTAAAATACAGTATCAAACAACAATTACAAATAAAAACCATTAAAACCAATATAAGATGCACCACAGTAATGACATATCCACAGTTAAAATGCTACGTACAGCAAGTTAAAATATCATCAAAATAAAAAGGGTTTCACCTGGTGCCTAAAAAATTGTAAAGATGGTACAAGACAGTCCTCCACCCAACCATTGTAACACTAAGTAAAGATAATTATTTTATTCAACATCTACCAGTAATCCTAAGGTTCAGTTTCACATATTAGGAAATCAGCTTACCAAATGGAAAGGGCAGCTTTGTATGCAAGAGGTTCCATCTCTGGGACCTCCAAGTGGAGCTGGGAAAAATGCCAGTCTGAAGCCCTGGAGAGCTGCTGCCAGTAAATGTAGCCAATGCTGAGCTAATGGAACAACAATCCAATCCCACTATAAGGCAGTTTCCTATGTAACATGCTTCTATGCAATTTAGCAGTGAAAAACTCATTTCCCTTTTACCATGCTGCAAAGACCTTGGCTTCCCCAAGATGTGAACAGAGCACCCATGAAGTTAAAAACGAAACAAATCCCCAAGCTTCTGACCCTTTTTGTATCATATATACACTTTACACAAGTCTGTTACACCCCATCCAGAGAACATATTACTAGGTATTATGTGATACTGATTTTTTGTGCATGCTGGTAATCAGAAAATTGAGAATTAAATTTGCTGCTCAGCTCTGAATGTTCCTTTTGCTTCTGTGATAGCCTAGAGATAAACAATAAGATTACAATATGGGTTTTTTTAAAATTAAGCAGCCTTTTAGGGCACATTCCAATGTGCATTTAAATGAGAAAAAGCCGAACAACTTGTGGCATTACCCAGACAGAGCTGTAGGAGTCCTTTTTCTGTCTAAATAGGATTATGCCTGTAAGTGGATAGTGCTGGTTTCTGCTGTGGGAGCTTGCACTCCACAAGTTAGAGAAGCAGCTTATAATTATTCCCTCTAGTGTATAGATTCATAGTACCAATCTGAATATTCTGTACAAAGAAAGTCTGTGATGTCTCAGTGTTTACCCCAGCTCTATAAATTAAGGTACAAAACAAAGTTGAAACAAAGCCAAACATTTTTGAATGGAATAAAAGAATTGATATATACCTTTAAATCTGGAATGTTAAATTTGGCATTGGTGGAGAGGTTGTTATTTTTTATAGTAGCAGCGCATAACTTCTCCCATGTCTGCTGGCACGTTTTCTCTCCAGGAGCAGAAATCAGCCAGAACTCTGTCATTTTTGTCACTCTACTATGATGCTGATGATTTTGAAAGCTAGAGGTAAAACACTGGAGGGTGGGGGGAGAAAAGAGTAAGACTCATTTGGAACATCCAACTAAGATTGCTTAATGTGACTTTATATGGCAACAAAGAAACCTATGCAATTTTTGGCATTTGTTAGTGGTCCTTTCATCAGATTTATAAGGCTCACAAAAATCTTAACTACTAGTAAGTACTTGAACTGAAGGTACCACCTTTTGCTTTTCTATATGCATTTGTTCAGGCAGGGAGTGACCTTCCTTTTCTTCCATACCAACCAGTAGAACATGTAGCACTGAGGACAAATTTATACTACAAAATTAAACTATTTTAAAACTTCACTTTCCTAAGCAATTCCAATTCTTTAATAAGGGGTAGGACGAGGATCTCTGTTAGAATACACCCCCCAACTATCAACCACAGAATTCTTTTGGAAGGTGAAGCCATACAAATATTTAAACTGATGCAAAGGGTTACTTTTGTAGCAACCTGTGTTGATCCCTCCCTGTTGGCTCTATTACTGGTGTTACAAAGAACCTGAAAAGGTTTGCAGGAGGATTTGGAGGCTTGCAATTGATCTTCATAGAGAAGCTGGACTCATGCTGACTGCTGTTATCCCTATTTCCATTCATTTATTTGGCAGAAAATGGGGAAAACAATATATTCTGCAGTACAGTTCAGACATTATATTCCAACTCACCAAACAATGCTCTCAAACTCTAGTTAATACTAGGCATTGTTTGCTTGAATTGGATGTCACTGCAAGCTATACTTAAGGGAAAACAAGAAACGGAGACAGAAACCAGATAGGCACATGAGCATGTAGCATATTCCCAATCCTTCAAATAACTGCAAAACAAAGCTATAATGTCCTTGTTGTACTGAAAAAAATGCTCTCTCAGCTCACTGCTCACTTTCAAACAGATAAAAAAAGGCCATCATGACATGTTTGGGAATTCCAAAAGGGAAGTCACTTTGTGCAGAAAACAGGGTGTAATCCAGAGCTGTAAAATGCAGTGTACACATGAAAGGAAAGTGTGCCCAACCAACATGCCATGAGGTGCAGTTCATGCAATAAACCCCCCTTACTGAAGTTGTGCAACATGTGAGGCAGTTCTTATAGCAGGAGTGGGGAATCTTTTTCAATTCTGAAGAAGTTCTTGGAGACCACATTCCAGAAGGACTGAAGGCAAAAAGGGTGAGGCCAAAATTACAAAAAATCCCAACAAATTTTAGGTTGCAGCTCTTAGTGGCAGTACAGGGTCTTAGAAGAGACACTTCAATATTTTAAAATGGAGAACACATTGCACAAAAACAGCGAAAACACCAAATATCAATGGTTCAGGGGAACGGGACACTGTCATCTGGGGTCCCATAGGGACTGATACGCCCCACCCCTGCCTAACTGACTTCAGATTAGCAAATAAATGAATTTCTTCTTAGTAAAACCAAGTCCATCACAGGGCCGTTGGATAATCTACTGACAGCTTTTCCGAACCCGATCATCCTCCAGATGTTTTGGACTGCATCTCCCAGCATTCCTGACCATCGGTTATGCAAACTGCGGGATGCTGGGAGTAATAGTCTAACATTCCGGAAGGCACTAGTTTGGGAAACGCTGTATTAATTATACAGCTATGAAGATCAGGGCCGTATCCAGAGATCAGCCCAGAAACCTCCGCCTGCTCCACCGATCTTGGGCCATTTTCGGCCGGTGGGGGGTGCTGCCGTTTCTCTCCCTTTCTTACGAGGTGACCGAAGGGTGAGGTGCTTCCTTTCTCTTTGACCGGAGGCCCCTTCCAGCTGCGAGCCACCTCCGGGCGGAACCCTCCCCCGCGCCCCCCGCCGCCAGTCATAGCCACCACCTACCTTCGGACGGTCCGCTAGCGGCGGAAGATGAAAGCGGCCCGAGGCAGGAATCGGGCGGACGCAGCGCCCGAGGAAGGGGAAGCCGACCGGCAAGCTCTGCGGAACAGAAAACACACGTGACACGAGTCACGCGGAGGGGGCGGGGTCGACAGGCAGGCCACGTGACGTGGCCGAAGACAGCGACGCTTGGCTGATCGAGGTTGCTCACATGCTGGGTGTTTATTTTACTCAAGCAACCATGTGGCAGAGGAGGTAGACGTTAGGGTGCTTTGTCCAAGTAGATTTGGGAGCATGAGAGGCATGAATTAATTGCTAGGGGATATTTAAATTCATGTGGAGAAGCCTGTCAGTGGCTTGCTGACCATGTACTACCTCCTTCACGACAGGCGACATGCCTGCAGCCTCAGTTGCTGAAGAGCTTGGGCAGTCGGAAGTCTTGCACCAGTCCTGCTTGAGCGACCCTGGGGCAGTTGGTTTGCCACTGTGTGTGGATTGTGCTGGACTAGATGGACTTTTGACCCGATTCAGCATGGCTTTTCTTACAATACCCAGCCTTGTTTTCTACCAAAGAGCTCAAGGGGGCACATACGGTCTTCTTCATCTCTGTTTCATATTCCCAGCAACCTTGTTAGGTAGGTTAGGCTGAGAGCAAGTGACTAGCCCAAAGGCACCCAGTCATTATCCTCCTCTTTTGAGATCTGATTTCACAGATAGTGTTTTCAGTCTCTGTTTTGACCACCCTTTCAAAGTGCCTGTGTGTTGCATTGGAGGAGCTGTCACTGACTGCCAAGCATTTTTTTTACACACTGTGTGCATTTAAAAAAAAACAACACAAACAGTAATCACCCTTACACAACTGTGGACATGTGCATTTCTGCAAGTATGAAAATGTGATGTCTCAGCTAGGTCAATGTCTTGGTGGTACTGGCTGTCAAAAGTATAGAAGGTATCTATGCAGGATAGTGTCCCAAAGCATTGTTTAAACATTGTTTTTATTTCCTTTGCTTTCTGTTAATAGATCTCAAAATGCAAAAGCAAAGGTGTGTGTGATCTTTGCTCATGAAAACGGGATATTGAGATTTACACTCTCTTTCCTCCGTGGTTTTTTTTGGGGGGGAGGGGGGGCGTTGCCCTGATTGTCCTTCGTGAACAATGCATTTTGGCCTTTCTCTCAGACTGTTTGAGAAAGTGCAAAAATACAGGTCATTCCCTGGGGGGAAAGGAGCAAGTTGTAAAGCTCTGGGTCTCCTTTAAAATAGAGTTGTGACAGGCCAATGGTTTGTTTGTTTTGACAGGGACATATACATCATATGTTAAAAGATGTCCTGGGAATGGACAAAAAAAAAAAAGCAACAGATACAATTTGGCCTCTGCAAAGAATATATTAAAAGTTGGTTTGTCTTTAGGGCAGTTATGTCAGTTGGCATGCCTACAAACCCATACTGACTTATGCTTAGTGTGGCTTATGTATGATATACTAACTGGCCCCGTATGACTTACTTCTGAATAAATGTGGAGATGATCGCACAGTAAACCTGTGTAATGCCTTCTGTGCTACATATTAAGACTGCTACACACTGCAGACTGTGGGGCTTTTACATCAGTCCTCACTCATTCACCATTTATTTGCTTTTGCTTAAGAGAAGTTCTGGGGAACCTGGAGCCTTGCTAACATCTTTGTGATATTTTAACTTTTCCTAACCATATTATTCATTGATGACATTTTTACCCCACTCTTCTGTCAAAAAGCAGTTGCCATAGTGGGTTGCAAGGATTAACAACAACACAACCCTTGCCCTCTATTTACAATCTAGAAGACACAACATAAAAGAAAAAGAAATTCAGGGAGCTGGGGTGGGGGGAAGCAAAACTCAGAAAAAGCACCAGTTCTTAGTTTCAGAGTTCTAATAGGTGTTCTTTCTGCACAGAGTAGATGGTCTCTTGTGTCCAGAGTGCTTTCATTTCACCACAGTACAGTTGCATGTACACACAAACTATACAGAATTAAGAGATAGGCAGTGGTCACTGAAAGATTACTGCCCCTTCCCTGATAAGGAGCAGCCACAGCTGTCACTGGATCCATTTAGCCAGTAAAGCAGGTGAGTTATGAAGAGGGGCAGCACACAGAGGAAAAATTAATGATTGGTTACTTCCTGACCATCTGTTTTGAATGATTTTTTTAAAGTATGTTTATTGTGTAATCCTAGGTCTTTCTACTCAGATATATGCTCTGTTGAGTTCAGTGAGACTTACTCCCAGGTAAGTGGACATAAAATTGTACCTTAATAGTAGGTGTTTTGCATTCTAATTTGCATTGTGAGGATAATATTCAAAAAGAGGATAAATACAGGCAGTATTCTTCGCAAACTAAAGGAAAATATTATTTAACAATAGCCATAAGAAAGAACTTGTCAATAAAGGTATAATATCCTTTTCTAAATTATGGCAATTTACTGTAAGAACAGATAATTTTAAACTTCAGTTTCAAAGAAGAGAAAGCAGAGATTATGCAACACTTACACTTTAGTCAAATGTAATAAAATGTGAGGAACAGCTCAACCATTAGGCAAACAAAGGCACTTGCTTGAGGAAGCTGATTTTGAAACCTACTTGATGTGTAAAAACAGCATATGGACTGAGTATGGGTTTCTATTGAGTTATGGGTCGCTGTTATGTGCAAACCCTGCATTGTGATTTAACTGTGAGTAAAAAACTCAAGAAGAGAAACCATGATTTCATGGTTAACAATGCATAGTTAAATCGCAGTTCAAGGTTCACATGTAACAACAACTCATGATTCAACAAAAACTCATGATTCAAAGAGAACCCATATGTTTTGTTATTATTACATGTAAAGCAGGCCAGGATGTTATGGGAGGGCAATGGACTCTTCGCTTCATTTATTAGTTAACATAGTTATTGCACTGCCAGGGAGAAATGGAGGCATTTACTTTACCCTTTGCCAAAAGAGAGAGAGAGAGAGCACAAAATGGAATGCACATTTGTATATATGTGCATTCCATAAATGCATCTATATATGTACAGATGCAAACTGAGAAAGAATTTCTATAATTTAAACAGGCATTTCAGAATAGTAGAGAAAATTACAACCAGGCACTCTGAGTTCCTTATACCTATTGGTAGGTATGTGCTAACTCTTTAGATGTACTCTGGGAACAGATCTCTGCAGTTATACAACTTTAAGGTCCCTGTTTTTCCTTCTTGGGGATTATCTTTAAAATTGGATTGAACAGCCCTTCAGATACAAGAATATCCTCTGTAAAGTAGGTTGAATGGTCACTCTACTTTGGATATTATGCATATGTAGAAGAGGGAATCGGCAATTTTCTGCTCTTCCACAAGCAGCTATGCCGTGGCAGTAGCAGAGGTAATGCACTGCCAAAAAACAGAGTGGGCAGCACAAAACCAGATGTGTAAATTTGAGCCTGAAATAAATTATAAATCATGTTTTGTATAATTGGCAAAGTTTGCTAGCAACAAAAAGCTGTAGTGAAAAGTAAAGATCAGGATATAGAAATATGAAGAGTACATTCACTTCTACTTTTTAACTGATACTCCAAATATATCTTTCAAGAAGCACTTTCTAATTTAAATAATAGTACCATTGTTAATGATACCATTATCAATAACATCTGATATGCAAACACGACAGTATTGCTAGTTGACAATTTAAATGATTTACAAAGATTGCTTGATAAAGTCTACAAAGTAAGTAACAAATTACTTAAATGTTTTCCAACAAACTCTGGGGCTGTCCAGAAACAGGTGTACATAATCTGAGATCATGTGGTGCTGAAATTGCACACAGATGGACTCCATTCAAATGTTTACAGTATGTGACTTCTGGAGGCAGTGGCTTGCTCCAGAGCTTAGGCAAGGCATCACAAGGGGGGTGAATCCTTATGCAACCAACAAGTGCCAGTTGGTGTGCCCCAATAAACATATTTTGCACCTTCATAGTGTGAAGTGTATTGTATTTCATCAAGTAGTAACAATGTCTATTAAATCTGTTTCAACTCCAGGTCATAAAACAATAAAATGCAGAGAAATCAAAAGAGTACATGTATCTTCTGCAAGGCATCAATATGTACTTTTTACAGATTTGCATGTGATCCATGGCAGATAGTCTTAAGGCCAAAAAGACTGTGCACCCCTGTTTTAGAAGACAGGCCTTCCTGATTTGAGGGTTAGGGTGATATTTCCATACGTATTTGATGCCAGCACCACTCTCCCACCCCACCCATAGAAACTAAATAGCTGCAGTGTGCAACCTCTGCAGTCTAAACTTGGACGGTGGTCATGTACACACTG